TACAACACCTGTTGCATGAGGGATCAGATTCCGGGAAGACATCCCCCTGGCAGAGATTTCCAAAGGTTGTTTCCCCCTCCCTCTACAAGGATTTCTCTGCAGGCAGCCGCAGCTCTGCCTGGCCGGTCAAATCCCTCTTACGTCCATTAAATCTTCCCCCCGAAAATCCTAGCAATATTTGGGCAATTTCTCAGCAGACAAAGTTAATCAATTTGCGGACACATCTGTTCCCATCCCTGCACCCTTTCCCCTCTGTCATGATCCCCACGTCCCATATAGCTCCTCTGTAAAATAATTAAAAAGCCAGATTTTCTTGATCTTCTCCTCAGCTAGGATTTTGCGTAACCCTGGTTACAATCCTTCAGTCGGATCTGAGCCCCACGGGGCTGGGGAGGGGTCTGTTCCCAATTGCAGGCTTGAGACCTGGTAGCTCAGGCCTCGAGATTGCTGGATCGTGGCCGGAGGTTGCAGGGCCGCGCGCTTTAGCTTGGAAGCTGGAGATACCTCGGTCCCACTGCGGGCGCCTGAATGCCAAAAGGCAGCAGGACTGGCAGAACGGCACCGGCCGGTGGGGCTCAGAGGTCAAGCCACAGCCAGTGGGTCCATACGCCGTGTGTCACTGGGTGCCTGTCCCAGGCCAGCACCCGCTGGGGTTCTGGGCAGGGTCAGTGGGGGACTAGACAGCTCTGTCAAGGGAGAAGGGGCACCTTCTTGAGTCCATGGGCTCTACCCCGAGCCTGGGGGATTCCTTTGGACAAGGCTGGTGGGTCAATGGGGATTGCACCAGGGGTTCTCTGAGCTGGGCCGTTGGAAGCAGGACGGGCCGTACCCTATCGGTGCATCAGGCGCTGAGACCCCTGGAGTTTGGCATCTTGCCAAACACCTGCTCAGGCAGAACCCCCTTGAAATGAACAGGTGGCGTAGGGAGCTGGTGGGCCAGGGACTGGGTCTCCCTCCCTGTTTGCCTAGCACTGAGCACCCTGGTACACTATAATAATGGATCGCGAGCCTACAGAGCAGGCTGCAGCCCCGCGTAACACTGGGATTCTCCCCTGTGGGGCTTGCTCACCCTTAAGGGCTTCCAGTTCTCCTGCAGCCGTGCTGCATGCAGCCAAGGGGTCCACACAGCACAAGCTCCCCGTTCCTCTCCATCCAGTCCTGCTCCCTGCATGGATCCCTGCTGACGCTGTGCTCTGGGCATGCAAGGGGGTGCATGGCCTACCCCAGCCCCGCCCTCCCTGGTACAGCACTGGTTCCACTTCGCCTGC